TGTAATAAATCTGTTAAGAGTTGTTTCATGGTTACAATAGGACTCTTGTTTGAATTATCTATACGGTGAAAGGAATGAAGGAAATTATCATCTTCACACTTCTATTTCTCTGCATCACATATTTTCTACAGGTTTCCCTTTATTTTTTGGACGAGAACCTAACAAAAAGCTAGGAAGAAAAGAATGGGCAACTGGGTCGATCCGAGACCAAATGCGGCGGCTGTGAGGTGGTGGGTTGCTTCCACGAAGCCCAGTCCTCATCCACCAACCTGTTTAGTTCCGCCTAACCCGCAAACCACTAGCCTGCACACGCCTAACTTGCAACCCAGACCGACTCACGTTCTCGTGAAACCACCGCTCTCAAATCCCATCCCACCGCTAGCCCGTACCATCTCGCACCAGACCACCATGATTCCCGGACCTCTATGCTTGACCAACCGTTCATGCGCCTAAACCCAAATTTGTTTCCGCCTGCCACAGTCACTACCATCGTATTTGAAGCAGATTCAGAATATAAAAAAGAAAAAAAAAGGGTCAAAAAAACAAAATTTTCCTTTTTAAAATTTTTAATTATATAAAAATAAATATTTAATTTGACTTATAGGACCCACTTATGTGTCACATCAGCAAATAACAGAAATTTTGACGGAATTATAACAGAAGGACTGCATTGATTTATCACCGGATCCTTTTCTTGGGGATCCTGTGATCTGTACTGTCCATCGTACATTGTGCGGTCATAAATCATTTTAAAATTTAAAATTTAAAATTAAATATAAATAGTATCTAACGAAAATTGATCGCACAATGTACGATGAACGGTCGAGATCACGGGATCCCTAGGATCCCCTTTATGTCACCCATTTACAAGGTCTACATTGATTGATTTTTAATTTCAGAGACCATCTTGATGAGGTGAATCAATTTCAAAAATCATTTGTGATACAAACCCTATTCTTTTTAGGAAAATATTTGGTATATGTATTTTATTTATGATATGTTACTTGATTCACTTTTGTTACCAATAATGGCCTTTTTGTTACAAACTTTATAATGTGACAAGAAAATTATTCTACATGCTTCATTTGGTTGTAGACGAGCGCTAGGTTCAGTCGAGCACATGCACACAAACTGATTTTGACAGTTTATTCTTAATAATTTCTCCAAGCAAGGATGGTCAAATTCAACTCAAACATGTAAGTAACTAGTCATAATATATCTCTGTTGTATAAAGATGAGGCCCAATTATAAGAGATAATTTTTAGTATGACCTTTCGTACCACATCGCTTGTTCGTCCAATGCACACATAAGAGTGCCTCATGCATTTAGGTACCACATATGTTCGTTTTCGTCGACCTAATGCAATGCGCGACTCTTATGTAGCCTTGGACAAATGAATAATGTAGCATGGAAGCCACTACTTAAGAATATATGTTGTTTTTAGCATAAATAACAAGTTTAACTTTCAATAAAAAATTTATGTAATCATGTATATATACTGTGCAAATATACAAATACATGTCAGAGAATCGAAAGATAGACAGTGTACATCAGAAGCCACATCACCCCAAGTACTTGAAGCCCAAACCCAGAGGTGCTTTGGAAACACATCTTATAACAAAAGACACCCACAAAAACACAAATTACATCAAAAATTTTGACACAGATTTTTGGTTAGACAAAACAAAAGAGAGGATGGGAGGGGGTGCCTTAAGAAGGTGTTTTCAAAGCTGAAAAAAGCAAAAGAAACAGAAAGAAAATCACGTTCTCACTAAGAGAAGAAGATACTTTGCCCAAAGTACAAATCAAAGATCATCCCTTTGACTACCTCGTTTGTCTATCTAGGATTTTTACTTGTTTGATTTTCAAACAAGGAAGAGTTTTCCAACATCCTAGCAGCAGAGGTTCTGAGTTTTTCTTTTTATTTATCGGTTTAGCATCAAATTCATTATGTGTTTGTCGCAAATGTAGAGTTAAAATCTTTATCGACTCACAATCAGAGTTGGATAATAATTTTGAGAAATTTTGTACATGACATGTAACTTCAATGGTGGAGCATTTATCTATTCACGATTAGGGTGAGAAATTCATTCTCTTTTTTCTTTTTCCAAATTGAAGAAACAAATCAAAGAGAAAGATAAAACGAGAGTATGAAATTCACTATGCATAACCAAAATTTCATGATGAATGATGGTGGGACATGAGAGGGAGGAAATATATTTTACATCAGCCGGCCATGAACCACAAAGAAAGAGGACCGAATTGATGTACAATTTGACTAAGTTTTCTCTAATACTATGAAGTTGCAGATGGATGTTCCACGTCATGTTTTACCAAAGGATAAGGTACAAGTCATGTAAAAGAAAAGGGAGAGATTGGGGAGAATCATGCATATAACCACATTCATCATAACTGAATCCGATTAGATGGTGTCCTCTTTGGTCCCACTTTGTTGAAATTTTTCTGTGAGGACACAGTTCATTACTTGTAAAAAGAAAAGTATTCGATCGAGTTGTAGGGTAGTCTGTCTCTTCCCTCATTTCCTTTTGCCCATAACTCTTTCGTAAGTTTAGCATTTGTTTTTCCCACAGTTCTTGCACTGTCCCAGGGTGATGCCATTTTGACATGCATTAGCCAACGCTTAGGGTCCCTTGATGATATCATCTGTCACCACCTATTCGTCATTTTCTCATTAAATCGATCCTAATATAAAGAACTAGTCTCACTAGTGAGACTACATGCAATCACTTATACAAGTTCTAATGTGACACTCAACACTAGCCGACACAATATACTATGTGTTTGGGTTGGCTCTAATTCCATCTGTCACGACCCATATGCCATATCAGCACTACATCCGTACATCGAGCTTGGTAAGACTAGTCACTAGTGAGACTACATGCAATTACTTATATAGCCCAAAATGACCTAGTTATGTGAGACTCAACACTAGCCAACACAATATACTATGCGTTTGGGTTGGCTCTAATACCATTTATCACAACCCATATGCCTTATCAACACTACATCGAGCTTGGTGAGACTAGCAGACTACATGCAATTACTTATACAGCCCAAAATGACCTAGTACTTTTTCCTTATGTGAGATTCAACACTAGCGAACACAATATACTATGTGTTTGGGTTGACTCTAATACCATCTATCACGAATCAGTTGCCATATCAGCACCACATCGATCTTGATAAGACTAGTCACTAATGAGACTACATACAATTACTTACACAATCCAAATTGACCTAGTACTTTTCCGATGTGAGACGACACCGGCCAAGCACAATATGGGGTGTCGCAGTCATATCTATACATGTATGACTGTATATGAAGGAGATTTGGGCAAATGCCATGCTGGTAGAAAAGTGGGCCGTTTGTATGACAGCTCTATGTGTTTTAGACAAATCGTTGACAACATATATTGGGGATGGTTGGCTATGAGGGTAGTGGAAGCTTCACTAGAGTAGTGGATTCGATGGGGTTTGTGAGGGATTCCCATTTGGCATTTGGGAGATGAAGACTCTGTAGTTTTCATTGGTGTGTTTAGCTGTCTAGCTTAATAGTTTAATTAGATAACCTTGAAATATGAACAATTAAGTAGTATGATAGGGGAAGAAGACACAGTCTCCCACATGTAGAGTGTGTGTGAAGGAGAGATTTTTCAGTGTGACTAGTACACGGGGTGGTACACCACGTGTCACTAAACAAATGATGAAATATGTGTGCTAAAAAGTTAATACCTTAAAAAATACAATTTCTTACCATTCATATTAAAACACTTGGTGTACCACTTGTGTTCATGTCACAACTAAAAATTTCTCTGTGTTAAGATTAGTCAATTAAGAAATCAAGCCCGGAGAGCTTAATCCAATAAATTACTTTGTTCAAGATTAGGGATTAAACAATGTTAATCGATACTTGGGCTCAAAAACCTAAGAGATCGCGTGGGGTTGTGAATTGTGTTAAGCTAGGATTAGGGACCCTCAATTGCCTAGCAAGATCCTACCTTTATGTGAACTAAGGTGAACTAGTTTGGCCCATGTGGATCAGGATCCTCTCCTAAGCTAAGGATGAGGATCCTCCTCATCAAGGGATGTAGGTCGTTGGATAAAAATCAAACGGCTACAATTATTATAACTTTAAAGGGACCTCCTATTTGTAGCCGTTGGATTTTCATCTAACGGCTCACACCAATTGAAATGTGAGCTTGCATATTAGCAAGTTGAAATTATCCAAACTGATACCCCCAAAATTGGGACAAATGCCTTGGTCCTCATGGACACAAGTCTTGATGGAGTCAAAAAGGGCTCAATTTTGCATAGCAATGTAACCTAGTGTTCAACTAAAAAGCAAACCATTGAAGGTTTTGAGGAGATATTTGCATGCAATTGCTTCTTAAGTTGGACCACAAACATTCTTCCAATCTCCCACACCTCAGCAATGAACTTCCATTGGAGATGAAACCCCAATTTTCTTTTACAAAAATACACCCTCTATGAAACCCTATAGCTATGAATGTCTCAAATCAAGCACACCACATTGGGGGCAACATTCTTGACCTATCCAAAAAAAAAAAAAAAGGCCTTCCAAACATTCCTACCAATTGTGCAAACACAATCACATATTATAAAGTTCGCAAGAAGTCAAGTGTTACTAAAACTTACGTAGTGATATTTCGTATTATTTATAAGTAAGAGTTTTTAAATTCGATTTCTCGTAAAAAACAAATTCGAAATAAGTTATTGTTAACCCGCCTTCTTATTTCAAAAACATAGAGATGAGTCAGTGCTATGTATTGTAACAAACTCCCAAATTCATTAATCTCTTTTATTTATTTCTTTTGTTGGGTTCGACTGCTTGGGTTTTTGATCAAACCTAACTTAGAGAGAGAGAGAGGGGGGGGGGGGGGGCAGAATTTAGAGAGAGAAAGCTTGGCAGGGGCAGTGTGGGAAGTTGGGTGTGAGTGGGTGGCCAAATAAAATCCAAAGCCACAGCCCGAGTGCCCATTCTCCCCAATTCCCCAAGCAAAGGGCTGGGTCGGCCTTGGATTTTGGGGTAAAAAGCCTCTCGACACACAGAGCCAAGCTCACTCCTCTCTCTCTCTCTCTCTCTCTCTCTCTCTCTCTCTCTCTCTCCCCTCTCCTTCCTCTCTCACTCTTATACCACTCGACTTTATTCTCTCTTCAAAATTCGATACTTTGCTCTGTACCCATAACGAGGTTTTTCTCACAGACAACTCCCACACTTTCACTCTCTCTCTCTGTCTCTCTAGGAATCCTGCATTGTCTTGATTTATCCTTAGAGGGCTGTGTCCTTCTCTGTGAAGCCCTTTGAGTTTCCTCTGTTTTTTCTGCTGCCAAACACAGAAGAGAAGTGGAAGAGGAAAGTACCCAGTTGGATATTTAGGATTTTAACTTTCTGTTTGGAAGCCGGGAAAATAAAATGCCCATTTGGGTTCTCTTCATTGATTGAGAAAACAGGGGCTTTTCCCACTACCCATTTTTGTTCTCTTCTTGTCCTAACCAACTCACTGAACTTTTCCCTTTGTTTCCCGGAAAAAAAAACCAGAGCTTTTGAGTCCATTTTTCTGGGTTCTTTTTCTTCTTCTTGGGGTTTAATTTTGTTGGTCTTCTTCTTCTTTCTCCATCCGCATTCATTGTTGTAATTACAGATATCCATTTATGAAGCAGTGAAACAATGAGAGATGAGAATTCCAAGAAAAGCAAGGTTCGATAAAATGCCACCACTTTTCCAATTTCTTCTGCATTTTTGTTCTGAGATTGCTGACTCTTTTGAGCTAATTTCTGAAGCTTTCATGGCCCAAGACACTGGTCAAAAAATGGTTCAACATCAAGAGCAAAGCCGAGGACTTCGATGCAGACGACGCCGTTTACGGAGGTCATTGTCACATACATGCATTGATTTGGATTTTATAAAGTTTGGGATTTCTGATTTGGGAACCTTGGATTTTACATCAAGACAAAAAATTGGATTTCTCTGCATTTTTTAGATTCTACTTTGCTCTGAACACTCTTGCATTGCTCTAATCTGCATCACTGCAATTTTGGGTAGAGAAAATTTCAGATTTTAATGGACCCTGCAGCTTCAAGATCTGCCATTTGTTTTCTTCCTCTTTTCTGCAGCAATTTCTTTTAATTATTATTAATATTATTATTTTCTTCATTTATTTTGTAACTTGAAAAATGTTCTTATTGTTTTGTTTTGTTTTCTTGTGGTGGTTTTTGAATCATTTGAATGTATCAACAGTGGAAAAAGCTCAGCTTTAACAACTTTATGGGGTTATCTTTTTCAGGTGTTAATGGAGAGTGGAGGAACAACCATTCAGAGAGGGAAGCATGCACAATCAAGAAAAGCAAAACAGGTTCAGTTCTCAGTATTCAGTTTTTGCTTTGGACCACAACATTCTTAGCATAAAAAGATAATCATGCTGTTTAGAGTCTCCTAATTTTCTGGCCAATTCTTTAATTTTTGACTAATCACCTATTCAACCCCAACTAAATCCACAGAAAGATTGAGCAAGAGGCACTCGGATAGAATCCGGCGGGGTAAGATTGATATGGAAGCATCACAGGTTACAGATGTGCATAATTACAGGTACGAAATGGAACTAGCATTGTCTTGTAAATTAGTTGTAATTAAGCACTTCTTCTTTGTGGATGAATAGGTTTAAACCGAAATTTTCGGGGTAAGAGCCTTGTCTTGTATGTGATATGTATTGGTGTTCAATGTGGGCACAGGATCTTTGTAGCTACATGGAATGTGGCTGGAAAATCTCCTCCGAGTTGTTTGAATCTTCAAGATTGGCTTCATACCTCTCCTCCTGCTGATATTTATGTTCTTGGGTAGGTTCTTGCATATCTAGATATGTTCTCTCTAATCTGTGCAACGTTTTTGTGTGGTGATAGAATCCTCATCAATCCTTTTGGTTTCCAGGTTCCAAGAAATAGTTCCTTTGAATGCCGGCAATGTTTTAGGCACGGAAGACATTGCGCCGGCTAAGAAGTGGTTAGCTCTTATAAGGAAGACTCTAAATAATCTTCCTGGAACAAGCGGTGCTTTCCATACACCTTCGCCAGTAACTGATCCAATTGTAGAATTAGATGCGGACTTTGAGGGATCGGCAAGGGAGAAGGCCTCCTCTTTCTTTCATCGCAGGTCCTTTCAATCCTTGAGCCGCAGCATGAGAATGGACAATGACATGTCAATGCCGCAACCCAGACTTGATAGGCGATTCAGTGTTTGTGATCGGGTTATGTTCGGGCACAGATCAAGTGATTATGATCCCAATTACAGATGGGGTTCCTCTGATGATGAGAATGTACCTGATGATTCACCTGTTCTGACACATTATTCACCAATGTCCAACAGTGGGTCTTTCTCAATGGAGGATAGAGATAGACAGCTAGGCCACTCGAGATACTGCTTGGTTGCCAGCAAGCAAATGGTTGGTATATTTTTGACAGTGTGGGTAAAAAGTGATCTTCGAGATGATGTTCGCAATTTGAAAGTGTCTTGTGTTGGAAGAGGATTAATGGGCTATCTTGGAAATAAGGTACAATTTTTCTTGTGAAATATATTTCCTACTTCTAGGAGATGCAGCAATCTTATTGTCTTGAGTTTTCCAGGGTTCAATTTCCATTAGCATGTCTTTGCATCAAACAAGTTTTTGCTTCATCTGTACTCATCTCACCTCTGGGCAAAAGGAAGGAGATGAACTTCGTAGAAATTCCGATGTCATGGAGATCCTTAGGAAGACAAGGTTTCCTCGGGTTGATGACATGGGAGATGAAAACTCTCCTCAGACTATACTAGACCACGAGTAAGCCCCCATTTTGTCTAATTTCTCTAATTATCTGCTTATCTAAGTTTTGCCGTTCTTTCTCTTTGAAGTTTAAAATTTCTAAGAAACTAGCCTTGGAGAAAATTTGAAAACTAAGTTTCCTTGTGCAGTCGAATTATTTGGCTGGGGGATTTGAATTATCGCATTGCCCTTTCTTACCGCTCTGCAAAAGCTCTTGTCGAGATGCGCAACTGGAGGGCATTGTTAGAGAATGACCAGGTATGCAATCTATTCCACTACAAGCATTGTTCTTTTCTTTCAAATGTGTTAATCTCGTGTTCCCCCATGGGACCAAAAAGAAAAGGAAAGAAAAAAAGAGTTGTGGTCTTTTTTGACTTGCTTTAGAATGGCTTGTTTCTGAAATTTTGATGGATTATACTATCAGCTACGCATAGAGCAAATAAGAGGACGCGTCTTTGAGGGATGGAATGAAGGGAGGATATATTTCCCTCCTACATACAAGTATCTAAATAATTCAGATCGGTATGCAGGCGATGATAGGCACACCAAGGAGAAGCGAAGAACTCCAGCATGGTAACAACAAATCTCTTGTAGAAAAAATTTCTCGAGGAAATCATTTAGTTTTTTCCATTATATGAATATCTAAACATACTTTATGCATGTGAAGGTGTGATCGTATATTATGGTATGGAAGAGGCCTCCACCAATTGTCTTATGTTCGTGGGGAGTCAAGATTCTCAGATCATAGGCCAGTCTACGGTGTATTTCTGGCGGAGGTTGAGTCTATTAACCGTAGCCGAATCAAGAAAAGTATGAGTTGTTCCAGTTCCAGAATCGAGGTAGAGGAGCTGTTGCCACACTCCCATGCATACACCGGCCTCAATTTTTATTGAAGGGTGGCCTGTCCCTTCTGATAATTCACTGTCCCTTCTGAAGCAGAATTTACTGCACTGTTACATCAGGTAATATCCTATGATCCGGTTTACTTACGTGTTTTCAGAGTTCACTTTATAGTTTATAATCGAATCTAACGTTCACGGTCTGTAAACAGGAAATCCTACGATTACAATACACCATAACCGAAACACAAAATTATCCGGAATTCCAACCCCATTTCACCTCCTCAATCATTCAGGTACTTTTCGCCATCTTCCCTCATTTTAAACAATCCCTCAGCATTATTTCCGATAACACGAGCAAAGGGTTTTCTTTACCGCACAAAAAATGTCATTGTCATGAAAAAGATTGAATCTTTATGCCAATAACGCTTCCAGTAATCTCCAGTTGACTTCCGAGTCATGCATGAAAAGATCGAACATGTACTGCGCATATTTTTTTCGAAAGCATGGGCATGAAACGTGTCTTCTTTCCCGATTAAAGTTGTATTGCTGAGAAGATCTCTTTGTCTTGTTCTTGCTTCTTATCAGTTGAAAATCTTTTGGTCCCCATATTGCAAGTGGGCACAGAGCAATTGCTGATGGTGATAAAGACAGACTGTTTTGCTCACAATCCAGAAGAAGGTTGGCCTCTCACTTTCTTTCCCTTTTCACAGTTTTTGGCAGCCATTTCCTACATTCTTCTTTGTCTAATTCTCCCCATACTTTTCCTCATCACACACACACAGAGCAGGCAGGTACAAATTTTGGGTGAATTTGTTGATACCTTCTAAGTAACCCCACACGTTTACAGGTTTCAGTTCTTTTCATCCCCAAATTTCCCAATTGGCAAATTTGGAAGTTTCTGGCTTGGTGGATTTGAGTGATCTTGGTAATCAGGTAAGATTATGGAAATTGAATGTTGCTTTTGACTTTATTGAATTGTTTGTGTTTGGAAATTAATCACAACAGAAATGTCACTGCAGCAATATTCTAAACTAATCACGAAGTTTTATGTTGAAAGTTAATAAATAGGCATAGTAGCGCATGATTGACTTAAAATACTACTACAGTGACATTTCCAGTATAAGCAAATTTATCTCGTAAAAAGAGCTTGAAACATTCATAAGAATCATAACTAACTACCTTCTTGATTTTCTTTTTGTAGGATGAGCTGACCAAGGTTTGGAGGCGCCACCAAGTTAGTTTGACATCTAATTTGTTGACTAATTGTTTTTGAATAAAAAAATAAGATAAAATCATTGAAGTTTCCATTGGAAAAAAGTAGAGGAGAAAATCATTAGCGTCAAGCTTAGCTTAGCTTTATTTTATTTTTTATTGAAAAGTGAAGTATTTGTATATTGAACAAAGAATTCCGTCTGTACAAGTTTATCAAGTCTGGATGTTAGATAGTCGACAACCTACATTTCTTTTTTTATGTTGAGTCTTTATGATAATGAATCTTATACGAAATTACACGAGAACTAAATCGTGACCTGTAACTGTAACTGATGTTTTGTTTGTCCCGAGCACACAGGAAAATAATTATTTTATTTTGTTGCATTGGACACTGAAAAAAGTAGTGGGATGTGACAAGATGTGATGGATACTCATTGCTGGTGAATAAAATGGGAGAAGTTGAAGGTCTGCTGATTGATATAAAATTTCTTTTTTCTGTTGCTTGCTTCTAATGATTTTGCCTACACAAATAAACAAATAATTTTTATTTTTTCTCTTTTTTTTCACCAATCTTTGGGTCTTATGGTTGCACCAGAATAGGAAAAAACAAATTGATTCGTGAGGGCAACCCCTATAGAACGTCGGTTCCCCTAACCTACAACAATCTTCTCAAAAGTCTTTCTCCCTAGGATGGGAATACTGTCACCTTAGCATTCCGTGTTAATTAAATGATTATATGTATAAGTTTATCTTCACATAACGTTATATCATTAAAACGGGACATCACAAGAATGATGTACACCTTTAATGTAAGTTGTTGTCCTTCAGCTGGTCATTGTGTTCAAATTCCAATTGTACCCCCATGACAATAAAAACAACTTACGTTTTTTCAAACAAAATTAGGACATAGTTCGGCTCGTTCTGTGTGAGATGTCATTAAACTTGATCTTACAAATCACAATCTCACAAATGAAAAAGTAACTCATTAAACTTACAAAACGAAAAACTAATTATACACATATCAAATTGTGTTCTGCAGGCTTATGATTTGTCTTTTGCATGTGGTCCAATATCCTAATAGATATGGTGTTTGGTTTTCATTTATGCATCTTGGGTTGTGTTGGAAACATGGTCCGATACACTAAGTGTCATAATACAAGTATTTAAAAAAATTTATTTAAATATCCAACCATTTGTATTATGATATTTAGTATACCGGACCATATTCCGACATGCTGTAATATCTCTTCGCAACTTGAAGTGCCAAGACAAAGAAAAGTAGGAAGCAAATGTACTTGTTGTAGAGTCTGGTACATCAGATTTCAGACCTGTGTATGCAGAGATGGGTGCAATTTATTGACCAACAAAAACCATTTTAGCACGTACACGTTTTCAAAATACAATTTAAATTCCGGAAGTTAGAAATTAAATTCCATCAAACCAAAACAAAAAAAAAAAAAAAACAAAAAACCAAATCTCATTCAATATCATTTGAGCTAAAGGTTTTACTCACCCTATCCAATTTATTTCCGGTCGAAAACAAATCCTTTTATAATGCGTTTAATTGCATTTTCTGTAAAATACAAATATATAGTCTATCTGATTGTCAATATGTTGTCCGTAAATTTAAATGTTGTTTAACTTAAACAACTAAGAGTATTTTTTTTTAGGGTTAAGTACAAAAAATTACCCAATCTTTTATGGTAATTCAAAATTAGTCTCAACCTTTTAAAACGTTCTAAATAACTACCTAACGTTTTGAAAATTAGACATCTGGTAAGTCACTGAAGACTTTATCAACATTAAATGATGACGCTACTAGCATTAAATGATGAGGTGGACAAACACTAAAGTTGGGTTTCACTAATCGACATCTTTGGAGTTCTAATTTCCCAAATTGTTCAATTTTAGCTAAGTTAAACCATAAATTTGCTTAGCTAAATAATGTCAATTTGGAGATTCAAATTTTCATAGATGACTTGAGAATTAACTCAGGCTTAATATTTGGTTACATCATCGCTCACCGATAGTGAACCTAATAGATGTCCGGTTATCAAAAATTTAAGTAGTTATTTAAAATGTTTTAAAAAGATATCACCAATTTGAGATCACCGTAAAGATTGAGTAGTTATTCAAATTTAAAACTTTTTTTTATGTTAATTTCATAGCATGGGATGACAGACACTCACTGAAAAAGTTGGAAAATCAAACTCTACATAAATATACGAACTTCAAGAAAGAAAGCAAATAATTTGTACTTGTACATTCCCAAATAAAAGAAGAAAAAAAATATTAATTAATTGTAGTGACCAATAATACTGCTAGAAGTTGCCATTTTTCCGTGAGATTTTTCAATGTGATCAAAATACAGGGTGATACATGTGTTATTATACAAATTGTGAGATATGTGTGATAAAAAATTAATAACTTAAAAAATTAAATTTCGTATCACTTATATAATAACACGTAATGTATCACTCGTGTTCCAATCACATTGAAAATTTTCTCCATTTTTCCACATAAAACTTTGTTACAGTGTTGGAAGTCTGGTCGGTTTTTACCGAAAGGTGAAAAAGGTTAAAGTTTAACTGAAATCCGCGCGCATGAAAACGGCCCTTGTTCCCAACACCAAGACCCGTCTCCGTCTCATTGGGTTTTCCGTGCTCCACTTGAACCTACTTTCCTCTCTTATCTCACTCGCTCAATGTGCGCGTGCACCACACTGTCTGTTTGGTCTTGGAACTTATCCTCATGTTTTAAATTCATCGTACTTTTTGTTAGTTTTCCACCATTAAAACGGATGAAAATAATCTTCAATTTGACGGAAGAATTGGCATATCTTACAATTTAAGAGGACTAAAATGTTTTAGAAAACATAGGAATTGTTTGACATATACCATTGTTAAATTGTCACGCGAGCAACCACGTAACCACATTTTAAAGAGTAATTTTGCCAAGTGGTTAGGCTTTTTAGCCAAAATAGTATATGAGATTGTTAAATGCGTTCCTTGTGTTTATCTACCGTAAATTATTTTGATCATTATGTGAAAATAGTTAAAAGCGGTCCTTGTGTTTATCCACTATAAATTATTTTTAGCCAAAATAATATATGAGATTAGTATAACTTCTTATTTTGGTCTTTCAAATTGACAATAGTTAAAAGCGGTCCTTGTGTTTATCCACTATAAATTATTTTGATCATTCTGTGAAAAATCCGTCAACACCATTGTTAAATTATCACGCGAGCAACCACGTAGCCACATTTTAAAGAATAATTTTGTCAAACTAACCCTTTTTAGCCAAAATGGTCATGAAATTGATATAACTTTTCACTTTTATTCATAAACTTGTTCTTCGTAAATCATTCCGTAGAAATTCGTCAATATCCTAGTTAAATTGTATGTGAGCGTGGAGTAAGCTGAAGTGAGGAATGTAAAAGGGAATTGACCGACGGAGTGAAATTTCCAGTGTGATGTACGGTACGTGCTGCTGGCGGTGACGGGGTCCGTTTAAACGTGGCAGTAAGCTGGAGTGGGGAATGCAAAAGGAAATTGATCGAAGCGACAAAAATGTGGCCTACAAATTCTGCCCATGTGGCAACTGAGAGCCCCACAGGATTTGTCGACTTGGACACATCATTCAAGTTACGGAGATTCCCTGCTTCCTGTTATGATTCCTTTTCACTTTTTTCTTTTCTTTCTCGGAGCTGTTCTACATCTACTTTTAAAAGTAAGTGTAAAAATAATAAATATTACATACACTAATATGTATTTCATAAGTTTGAAGTTATATAAGCAAGGACGGAGTCACCTTGGGCCCAGTCGAAGCAGATGCTCGACATAGTTTTGTGGGAAAAAACGTACATGCTTATGACAATAATAAAATTATTCACTAGCTTACTTGTTTGTAGCGTTAGCATCAACTTTTCTAGTTGGCAGTACGGCCAACGTTGAAATAGCATTTTCGTCATAAAATTTTTGAAAAATCGATTGAGAAATTAAATGAGTGACTGATAACATGAGTATGTTAATAGAAAGAGCTAGATATATGAGTCTGGAGAATATTGTGAAATTTCTCAAATCTACCATTCTTCTGTTGGAATTATGAGTTGGATGTTTTTTTTGCCATGAAACATGAGTCGGAAAATACTTGTGTCTTTCATGGGAATGAGTTCCGTACTTGTAACATACAACTTAACACATATTAACATTCCTTTTAATACATTTGACGGGTTATTTCTATATATGTGTGCTGCATGCAATGCTCTTTTGTATCTTTGCGGAAATGAGTCGAGCAGTGTTCTTTTGTCTAAGGAAATATTGGCTCATGTGTGGCGCATCACTGTATGCTACTGTAGTAGATATGACTGTAATTTGTACATCTACAGAGGTTCATTTCATTCATATCAAAAGAAAGAAAAGAAACAGCAAAGTCGAAGTGTTGCACAAATCTCGATGAATTCATAACTTCCAAGGCAAAGTTGAGCACAGGCTGCACGCATAAGCAATGCAGTACATGGCCAGTAGAGCACGGAATTTACTTTGATCAAAGCTTTGCTTCCTGTTTCTCAGTTCTGGCCAGGATGTCTGCTTTTGTATTAATCGAATTAGTGAATTAGGTGCTTACTTGCAGTTTAGCTAAATAGTTTGGCAAAAAGACTTGTAAATTGATCTAAACTACGCCGAAAAATATTCAAATTTAGGGCAGCTGAGAGTGTTGGAAGTTTTGAGACTCTTGTCCCACATTGGGGAAAATAAGATTCCCAAGTACCTTTATATAAATTTAATGTTTTAGTCTAGTAATTACAACATGGGCCATTTGGAAATGGATTGAAAGTTTGAACCTTATGGTTGTGTGGATTAGGCTTGTATAATATAGCCTAAATACAATTAATATTAATTAATCAAGACAAGGGCCTTGGGGCACTTGGGGCCTTGGAATTTAAAATTAATCTGAATAGCCTAAATACAATTAATATTAATTAATCAAGACAGGCCTTGGGGCACTTGGGGCCTTGGAATTTAAAATTAATCTGATTCATTAATTTTAATTTTTGGATTAAGTTTTTAATTAATTTATTAATTAAAAACGTTTTGATTAAAAGACAGCTCTTAGAAAGAGTTGTGTACCTTCAAATACACTGAACAGGTATTTGAAAGGGTGTGAAACAGCCTATATATCTGCAATCACAGTTTCCAAAATGGATCATCTTTTCTTGCTCTTTCCTTCTGTACGAATTTTCTAAAGAGTAAACACACAAAAAGCAAATTCGCTAGAGTTCTAGAATCCGGTGCGGATTCTAGAATTAGGTAGTTGAATCCTGGTCGAGCAGACGTTATAGAACCACAAGCACATGAGTGGGGCGAAAATACTGTTCGAATGACATAGCTTTTACGCTAGCCTCTACCTTCTGTAATCAAGTTAGTAACATTAATTTCTGTATTTATTGTGTAATTTTCGTTTTGTATAGCAAATATATTTTGGTTAATAAAATATTAGAATTTCTGTTATTTTTGTTTATTTCTGAATTGTTCTCCAACAGAGAGCATACTATTCTAGCTAA